AAGGAAAGAAAAGAAAGGACAAACTGGGGTCTCACAGGCATGGGCTGTGCATAGGTGAGTCTGCTGTCCATGGATGGAATTTCTTTTCTCAGGAAGCCTCAACCCTGTTTTTATAGCATCTCAACTGATTGACTTAGGCCCACCCAGGTTATCTAGGATAATCCTCCTTACTCAAAGTGAGCTAATTATAGTCTTTAATTACATCTACTAAATACCTTGAGCGCAACTTCTAGATTAGTATTTACCTGGATAACTGGGATCTAGAGTCTAGCCAAGTTGACATATCAAAAATACCATCACATTTCTAAAGTGTTCTAAATCCAGTAGTACCTTATCTATTTACTGTCTTCCATAAAATGTACATTTTCTGAATTACTGAAGAGTCCCTCTTTTGAGCCAAGGCTTTTAGAATGCTATTGCTTTGGGGCGTATCATAAACTACTCTGCCTCAACTCAACTCACATACTGGATACTTTACACCATTTGTGACCACCCAGGGTTCCAATGTGAACATCATTTATCACACTGAGCTGAGCTAACTAGAATGCTTCAGGGCCTCCAAAGCCTGGAAGACCCATTACCTCATTGGGTCTTCAAAGGGACCTCACTGCTCTCATTATTATTATTATTTTTTTTTGAGTTGGAGTCTCACTCTGTCGCCCAGACTGGAGTGCAGTGGCCGCTCCCAGCCACCACAGCCTCGTCCTGCTGGGCGCGCCAGCGATCCTTCCGCCTCAGTCTTCCAAGTAGCTGGAACTACAGGCGCGCGCCACCACGCCCAGCTAATTTTTGATTTATTGTAGAGATGAGGGCTAACCAAGTTGCCCAGGCGGGTCTCGAACCCGCGGACTCAGGCAATCCACTCACCTCAGCCTTCCAAAGGCACAGGATTACAGGCTGAGCCACCGAGCCCGGCTTGCTCTTGTTCTTTTAGTTCTGTTGTCAACTTTCTGTTTATGTACTTCCTCCCCCTTCCTTCCCTTTATAAAGGCTGCCACTCCTCACTGCCGTCAGCCTGACCCTCCTACACACTGTGTGTGACCAACTTTGCTGGGTAATGAGAGCTGTAAGAGAAGTGGACACAGAATGTTGTGGGAAGAAACCTCGGTCACACAAACTCCGCATGCAGGAGAATGAAAGGGGGAAGTATCGGCCATATTCGTGTTGGCTGCAGTGTAAATGCTGTCCTTCCACGTTTCTCTTCTAGCATGGCCTGCGAGACCCTTAGTGATCTGGACCGCCACCCACTTCCCCAGCCTTGCCGTTAGCCAGCTCCTACCCTCCTGCCAAACCTGCTGACTTTCAGTTCCTGGTACTTGCTACATCTACTGACCAACTCCCACCCACTCCCTGAGCCTCAGATGAGGCATTGCTTTCCTCTCAGGTAAGCCTTTCCAGCACCTCTAGTTCTGGGTCTGGCCACGCCCTCTGTGCTCCCTTAGCACCCTGCCCCTGCTCATCTGTCCCCGTCCTGCTTCCGTCTCCTCTTCTTGCTCAGTTCCCCTGCTACAATGCAGTTTTGCATCATCTGCTTAACTCCGCTTTACTCTCCTTCAAAGAGGTTTCTCAGGGAACTTGCTCTTTCTCTTGGGGTAAGCATACCAGTCTTGCCTCGAAAAGCATACCAGAAATGCCAATGGCTTGATGTTAGGCATGGAGAGTTTTCAGCATGGGAGTTTGTCCCCTGCAGCCAAACCTCAATTTTACATGGCGGAGGTAGACTAGGCAGTATCATGTGATGAGAAAAATCTGTGGGGAAGAATAGCTGACTACAGAAAAACTATAGAAAGCCCCTTTCAAATCTTCCTGCTGACTTGGTTTTCATTTTGGAAAGAGCAGGGTGGATGCTCATCTCTGATCCCCAAATCTGCTAATAGTTAAGACTTTTAGGTTCAAACGTTTCCTTTAAAGAGGGACTACTGTTGTGTCCTTTGAATGCTCAGCACACACCAATCTTCCCTTCAAGCCAGGAGCCCACAGACTCAAGACATGTGGCAGGAAGGCCCTGCCCTGACAGCCTTCACCAAGCCCAAACCACCTTGGCAGCTGTCAAGAAGGAGGCTGTGCAGCAGAAACCACAGTCCTGCATCAGTTAGCCAGTTTGCATCTATAAAATGGGCACAGCATGCAGGGAGGGTGTGGGGGTTAATGCCAGATGCTAATGCCAAATGCTAGAATCTGGGAACTGCCTGCCCTGCCCCTTTCAATTATCAAAGAAAACAAGTTCATTCAGAAGAAGAGTAAGGAGATGCTATTACACTGTGTAAATATGTTTAAGGTGTAGTTCCTAGAAATATAGGATGGGCTGAAACAGCAACAGGAAAAGTTTGGATCATTTCATGAGTAAAACCCAAATGGGTTATTATGGGAAGGTAGAGAAGTTTTTTTTTTTTTTGGTTTTTTTTTTTTAGTTGGAGTCTCACTCTGTC